CTCTTTCCTTACTTGGTAGCTTAAAGATTACTAGGAGGAATCTAAAGCTTACTAGGGTAAGAGACAACAATTATGATTGTAAGTCCTCTTACATTTATGAACTTCTGTCTTCCTCCCCCGACATTTCTCTGCATATAGAAGAAACATGGTGTTCTTCCTTCAGTGCCCTGAGACCATTAGCCATGCTGCTCTTCCTGATAGCTCATCGGGTAGGGCTGAGGTACAAGGAGTTCAATGTTTTATTTATGACTGATTACATTAGCAGCTCTTTTAACAGCCTTATCCCACTGATAGCACAGCTGCATTCCAAAATGTTTTGCAGCGCAGGAGATCTGAAGGAAAGTGCCGAGGCTGAGGTTTTGTTGATCCGACAGGAGAACTTGAGATTGAGAAGGCATTCAGAACGGTTTATTTGCACGGCCTTTAAAAAATACTGTGAAACTACAGAACGATCATTGAAACAACAACTGCTTACACTGCAGCATTACTAATGATGAAAACTCTTGCATTCCAAATGTTGCCACAAATGGATAGATACAAGAATTGCTTCCCAGCACTTAGATGCACCCTCCTTTGGAAGCAAATGCAGTAACGTTTTTTAACAGTGCAGAATGACATTATGTAAGTGTTTTGGGCAGGACGGTTTGGGATGGGCAGAGTGACCTCCCTGTGACTTAATTTTGCTCATGTGATCGGGACCCATTCCATAACACTTTAGGGAAGCAGAAATATAATCCTAGGAATTTGAATTTAGTTGGGATTGGGGCTTGTAGTATGTGTATCTTTCAAGGTGTCCTCATGTAAAACCTCAATAGACTGCAACAGGAATGAAACAAACAGGGTCCCATGGATATTCTGCAGTGTTTGCTAAAAATTATGCTAAACCCCTGTGAACTAAACAAAATGGAAGCTATAGTATTTTCTTTTAGGAATATAATTTTCTATTAAAGTCCATAGACTGTTCCAGGGAAACCTATAGTGAAATGAGCATTTTCTGTTAAGTTCCATGGGACTTTTCTGAAAGTGTGAATTCACTCTTCCTTCTTGGTGCTCAAATAAACTGATCCAGGCCTGAATTATAATTAGAAATCTGGCTGAAGTCCTGTATTTAGACTTCTGGGACCAAATTGTGCTCTCTGTTCTACATGTACAGCTCACATGGATTCAGTGGGAGTTTTGTCTATGTTAATGAGAGCAGATGTTGACTTTTGAGCTCTCAAATTTCTTTTCATTGCATAACATGCAAGTGGAGCAGCACAGACAGCTAGACACTGGCTTTTCACTGGTTATCCCAGAAGGCATGTGGCTAAAGAGCAGGCCAAGCAGGGTACAGAACCTGAAACCACAATGCGGCTAAAACCACTACATTTCAGTTAAACTACAGTTTTATTTTATAATTGGCTCATGTTTCAATCCCCTCTTTATAGAAACAGTCGTTTCTCATGGACAAGTGCTGCTTTGTGAGAGTGGCCTGTTTAAAATATCCATTGAGAGTAAGACAGTGGTGTGCAGTGCAGTGCAGTGCAGTGCAGTGGTGAGAGCACTGAATTCAAGAGAGTTCAGTGCTGCTTGTATTCCCACTGGCTGAGGAGCTGGCCTGTGGTTCCTACTATGGGCTCTGCCACTTGCTTTCTCTATAAAATGACTTCCCTTCCCTGTGCTTCTGTTACCTCTAAATGAAACAATGATAACTCCTGCCTGATCTGGCTGACTGATTAATGTGAAATGCTTTGAGATGTTGGCTCTTACAGAAGTGCAAAGTATTTCTGATGTCAGTTTTTATGGGGAAAAAAACAACGGAACAAAACCCTACAGTATTTCTTACAGTGACTACATTAGCATGATCCATTGTGTGATCTCAAACTATCATACTGTTGCAGTATTGTAGATTATTACTGTAGACTTCTTTTTACACAACCGTGAGAAGCAGAAATAGCTGAGCAGTGTCTCGAGCAAAGGCTGGTTTGACTAGTCTCTTCTTTATCATAGCTGAGTATGGCAATGGATAAAATGTCTCTCTTAAGGGCTGAATTCCATAAAGACAAGCAAGTATGTTTGTGATTTATTTTACACGTGGCTTTGGCCTGCTCTGTCCCATAGTCATTGTGCATAACTTTTGTATTTCTAATGGACCTGTGTTCTAGGGACCTAATACAAAGTCTGGTGAAGAGAGTCTTTCTGTTTTCTGTGGGCCCTGGATGGAGCTCTAATGTGAAAGTAGATGAACATGAACGTGAATGCTCTCCGAGTTGCAAATGAACGCATTGCCTGCTGATTAGGTGGCATGTTCTAATATCCTAGTTTTCCTAGTTTCCCACAAGTCTTATTCTCAAATATCAAGAACTACTGGTTGTTGCTGAACACATAGCTCAAATACTCTAAGAGCATCATCTTCACAGGAAGGGACATCTGAGAAAGTAAACAGTTATGGTTACACTGTCAGATATGCTTTATCCATGATTTTCAATCCTTTTGAGGTACATGAATGGAAATGAGCGGTTCAGGTCTCTTTGGCAGCTTTGAAATCTCATTTCCATGGCTGAGCAAATATGGACAAGATGAATCCGAAATCTCTTATCTGTTTCATTGCCATCAGTGACGTACAACTGACCCAGTGGTTAACACTGAGATCATATACTGTACCTTCTTTGCTGGGCCTATACGGGACCTGGAGTTGGCACTGAGATCATAGTGTAGTTTTCATACCAACACTGGCACCATACTGAAATAGCACTGAGATTATATTGCAACTTTAATGCTAGCACTGGGAGGGTTAGCACGCAGATCATACCATTCTTTCTGTATTACCACTGGGGCAGAACAATACCAGCACTGAGTTCATAATGTAGATGTCATGCCAGCTCTAGGGTAGAACTGTACCCAGGACAACAATTGCGATCTTACTATATTTCCCATGCCAGCCCGGGGTACACCTATATCTGTGACTAGTACTGAGACCATACTGTGATTTGAATGATTGCACAGGGCTTGTCTAAGGTTCACCTTTAACAATCCTGGGGTCACTGTTCCTTCTGTAACTGGAGTTGGCTTCTGCAGAGGCCACTTAGGATGCTTTTCTTATAGATTCATAGATTGTTAGGGGCTGGAAGGGACCTTGCAAGATCATCGGGTCCAGCCGCCCTGCGCTAGGCAGGACAGACAACTGGGGTCAGGTGACTCCAGCGAGGTGACCATCGGGCACCCTAACTGTGAAGAAGTTTTTCCTAGTGTTAAGCCTGAAATGTTTGTGCTGACTTAGTGTCTGATAAAGGGAGGATGTCTGTTCTCCCTATAAGTTGCAGAAGCTGGAGCTGGAAAAACCTATCTGAGCTGGTCCCTCGATGTTCTTACAGAATCTGAGCGGGGGCATCAGTGTGTCTCAAATTCAGTAGGGGTTGCCTAGACACATACACAACTCTGGGGTTGATCCAGACTCCCCCAAAGTCCATGGTGATGGACCTTGCATCATGTTTTCCACTTGAAGGCCTGGTTGGCCATGCAGAGAAATCCCTGCTGCCCCAGCCTTGACTGACCTTGCCTTACTGTGTGTTTCTGTTTCTCCAGAATGGCTGCAGTCTGTCCAGGCGATGATGATCCTCTCCATTATCTTCAGCGTGCTGTCCTTGTTCCTGTTCTTTTGCCAGCTGTTTACACTCACCAAGGGAGGCCGGTTTTACATTACTGGAATCTTCCAGATCCTTGCTGGTAAGTGGAGAATGATAAATGGGTGGCGGCTTGGAGTATGTACAGGGAAAATGCTTTCAGGGAGAGGCATGAAGGCTGTAGCAGAAAACAAGAAAGCTCTTGAATACCAAAGAGGGCCCTGTGTGGTTATTACTTGATTACAACTGACAGGGGTTAGAACTGGGGCAGAGGAAATCAGCTCTTCTGGAAGCTGCACTGCTTGGCAATGATAATGCATCAGAAATGGCATGTACTAGGCTATGTCATCATAGGTCATAATTGAGGGGAATGGGGTGTGGATAATCAGGGGCCCGTTCTGCCTTAGATGCACAGGGATGTAATCCATTTGTCAGTGTGTGTGTGTGCCCCACGTTTCACAGGGGACAGGAGTCTGTAACAGCTCTGGCTGAAGACCTCAGCTCAAACTGTAATAGTTACAGGTGCTTGGTTCAGTCCCTGACAGATGAGTTATCATACATGCTGCTCACAATTAGGCATGGTGCAGGCTCAACACCTCTAAAAATCGGCTACTGTGTATCACTGCCTAGACAGCAAAAACAGAGCAAGCCAGAGAGAGGGTTACTTCAACAATTAGTTACACATACACACTTTGTGGCACAGCTGGAGGGAAATTGTTTCTGATGTGACTCCACAGACTTAAGTGTTCCTACCATAAGAATGATTTTTGGCTCAATAACTACATCTCTTGGTCATTTGAGACAGGGACAGCACAAGGCAGTGCTGGCTAAAGGTGCTCTGAATGAGCTCAGCAGGTTGTATTACCTAGGGCAGAATGGCATGCTAATGTGACTGTTCTGCTTCCAGTGCCTAAACTAACCTCTACACAGGTGCCTCTACACAGCACTGTGCTGTGCAGTGTTGGTGTGTCTGAATACTGACAGGTCTCCAGCTATCAACAGGGCCTCAGCCTTCTCTAGACTTCAGCCTGAATGTGGTGAGGAAAAAGCTATTGCCCATTATCCAGTGCCCATGCCAATGATTCCACTCCTGTATTGCAAAACTCAGGGCAGCAGCTAGTCTTTGTTACTCTGAATTTCCAGAAAGTCGTGAGTGTACAATGACCACATAATCCGTGTCTCTAGCTCTGCTGGGGAGTGTCTGGTCTGGAACTAAGAAGCCCCAGGCAGAGAAGCCAGCTGGGCTCCACTTGGCTCCCAAACAGTTGGCATGTGCACCAGAAAAAGGGGCCAGTGTTTAAGCTAAAGAAGCAGATTCCTGTAGTTATTCATCCTTGCCCTATATATAGCCCCTGAAGGCCTACCACCCAGAGGAGCCTTGAATCAGGAGCCCTTGAAGAGGAGTACACATTGTGGTTTGGCTTTTTCCTATTTGACCTCTCAGGCAGAGCTGGTTTGAGCAGCAGAAGTTTCACTGGTGTTAGATGAAACTCCTACAAACTGTCTTGGTGGTAGGTGATGAGAAGGCTGTTTCCAGAGACATCACTTATCCCTGATACATTTTGCCTGGATGCTCCTGCCCTCAAGGCCACTTCCTGACCGGGTGACTCAGCCGGCAAAGCTAAGCGCCGTAATGTAAACTCCTCTGTTTGGGAAACCTGACTCATCAGCCCTGCTGAGGCTGGAACTAATGTGTGTGTCAAGTGCAGCAGCTCTGGGGTGTTCCTGAGCTGCTGGGTTGATTCAAATGTACACACAGCCTGTGAACTGGGGGTGGGAAGAAGCTCATTTGCACTGTGATGCAATGTCTCTCTTCAGGAATGATGGGATTGTCTGCATTAGGATGGAAAAGATGTATGAGTTCAATCTAGTTTAGTCTCCTGGCACAAGGCTGGACACAACTACAGAACATGCTCTAGACTAACGACCCATATAGCGAGCCTCCCTCCAGAGTGTATTCCAGACTCTGGATTTCACTGCTAGGAAACTTTTCCTGGCAACGTGCCTAAATGTTTTTTGATGTGATTTCAACCTCATTTCTGCTAACACAGACACCCTGAGTCAGACCTCACCTTCACTGGCACTTGTAGCTTGCACAGTTTGTAGACAGCTACAGTCATCCCTAAGAAAAGCTATGCACATGATATGAGGTGGAGAGGAATCAGGCCTCTGCCTTTTCAGTTTTACCTCACCAGTTGATCCTTTCAGCCCCTGAATCCTTTTTTGTTTCTTTCTGGGCTTCAGAAGACTATTTTGCTCTGCACTGAGCAGGACAGCACTCCATACATTGGGTAGTAATGACTTAAGCGCTATCAGAAACAGAGTGGTTTTCTAGGGGTCTTCCCATTCTTTGTGTCCCAGGGCATCTTGGAAAACCCTGATATGGAAAACTGGCTATGCAAGCAATCACAGCAATAGCTCACACAAAGTTATTGGTGTTGGAAGAGGACTAAGTCAGACAGGGCACAAGGGGTTGTCTGTGGGAACAGGTAAGGAAGTTTAGCTAATATCTCACGGACAGGACTTTCAGTAAGGTGAATGCTGGTGTTAGTGCTTACAGAAGTGAGGCAAGTATACAGACACTTTCAATACCGCACTTTGTGTTTACCCAGATCCCAGCTGGTTGCTGTTATGCAGGACTGCTGCCCAGAGCTGCAGAAACTCACTTGTGTTGGGTTTTACTATGATTTGTGATGTGGACAAAGGGGAAGGGCTGCAGAAACAACCAGTCTGTTTTTCAGACTTTAACTCCATGAAACGGAAGGCTAGACTTCAAGTCTTCCAAGTCCGTGGTGGTCGATGGCGGCTACTTGCCATGTCAGGTTACCATGAGGGTACCTTGGGCACATGGTTGTGATAACCTTGTCCCATTTTTATCTCTCTCAATTTAAGGATAGCAAAGCACTTTACAGAGATCAGCAAATTAAGAACCGATAGCCCTCCCTGGAAAATGCGCATTACTCACACAACTGCCTGTGTGTGCACACGTA